TTTGATCATTGATCTGAGAAAATAGTTGCATACAAATGATAGAAATTTGAACTTAAGCATCCCAGCATCTTCAGTATTTGTATTTCATTTCCACCCCCTTGACATATATGATTCCATCAATAACAACATTATTTAATCTGAAGAAGTCTTTTGAAGCATAAAATCTGTATTTTAATACACATGATAGTTTAAGTATTTCTGAATGAGTCTGGAACCATTGCATGGCATCCATATGAGAGTTTTGATCTGACAAGGTTAAGAACATGATTCAATTACTTAGGTTATGGTGTTGGTTTTGAATACTATGTTCACTTTCCTTATCTCTTATACTAAAATATTAGCCGTTTCCTTATAAGGGAACATTCAACATTCATTGATGAACAAGTCAGTGCTGCTGAATAGATTGAAATTATAAAATCTTTCTTTTAAAAAAACATTTTCAGGATGATCAGTTTCTCAAGTCCAGTAGCTATTATTGCTCCTTCCAGTACTGATGGAAGTTCCCTTCTTTACCTTTTGTTTGAGGTGATGAGGAATGCCAGTGCTTTGATCATGTCATCATTCTCTCTTCAAGTAAAATGTGCTATCCATTTTAGTTGTTGCTGCTGTTGAAAGTCCTCAAGTGATGTGGTTTCTGTTACTTGGTACACTTCTTTATTTGTGATTCTGTAATGTAAGTCCATGAGGTTTGAAGAAGGATAATACTTGCTGAAGCCTACATGCTTTACTCACTCAAAACAATCTTTAACCATCGATCTGTGAAAGCAATTGTATATGGCTGATAGTCTAGATATTCTGGAATGATCTGACAAGGCTATTTAAGAACATGATGTTAGTTTTTAGGTTAATGTGTTGGTTTTGTAGCATCTTGCAGTGTTGGGCAAAACTATCTTTATTCTATGTTCAATGTCCTTATCGCCTATACAAAATTTGTTATAATTGATCCATACTCTAAGGTATTTGAAATGTTCAGTATTTAATTCTAAATCCTGAATTTTTATGGTGGATTCAGTGTATGCACCATTATTGCTTTCATTCCAATTCCAGATCACCGTTTTCTGTTTTGGAATGGTTCACCTTGAGTCCTATTTTTTGGAACACTTGATAGAAGATGTTTTCATATTAACAATGGATTCAGTGTATGCGCCATTATTGCTTTCATTCCAACTGCTGATCATAGTTTCTGTTTTGGAAAGGTTTATCTGAAATCCCTCTTCTTGAAACACTTGATAGTAGATGTTGATTTTTGTTCAGTGATCATTCTTATACTAAATTATGAATGACTATACCATCCATACACCCTCCCCATCATCAGTACACTGGTCGTCTATTGGCAAAACAAGAGAAACAAAGAGGCTGAATGTTTTTATGCTTTAAAATAGTCAACCTTCTTTTGCGCAATGTTTGCTAGGAAACACTGCTGTGGATTTGCTTGGTCATGATAAAATAAGAAATGTTTTATACAGAAAAGCTTGTTAACATATTCTTTTTAACCAGATGTGTCAATCAAATAGTAAAGATGCAATGTTTATATACATGGGTTACATAAAAAAGCATAATAAAAAAAGCATTGTGTGAAAGTAATCTGAAAGTAGTCAAAGATTATAAAGTTAATATGTGAAGCGTGAAGTTTGTGTGTATATCTGCTTAAAACCTTGAAATTTAATTAAATATATATAAAATTGGTACATATATATGTGCTTGAATATAACATAGAACTGTGACATCAAATATATGCAGCCTTATTATTAAATATATATACCAGCCTTATTAAATATATATAACATTGGTCAATATATATGCTCAAATATATGCAGCCTTATTATTTCTATTTACCAGAATGTTTTATATCTTGCCCAACTTAACAGTTAATACATATAGAACTTTCAAATTTAAATTTTGAATATTAACCATATTTCCAGTCATTTTTTTTCTTGTGATCTTCATAAATAAGCTGTTATGTTGATGGATTTTATAATTAGCTTAGTTATTTAAATAAAGCACTTTTCTACTCTGAAAGTGGTAGCCACCTTAACATTTAGATTACAACTTGGGGGAGTAAATACAGCTTGGTTAATGCTATGTTTTTTGACAATAAAATAAAAAGTAATGTCAATAAAGTGCTATAAGTTATACAACAAATACTATGTGAGGATATAGATATTTAGACCAAGTTTTGAAAAGCTAGGAATTATTGATTTAAACTGAAAAAAATGGTAAAAATTATTGGATAACAGTATTATGCCTTTTGGTCATTTTGAGCTTAGAAATAGTTTTTAGGTATCAATAGTAAGGATAAATAATAAAAGTAACATTGTTTAGTATTCTTTAATATTACATAAATCTAATCTGCCCGACAATCTTCCCATTCACATCCCTATGTGAGATCCTTTGGCAGTCAATACTTTTATCAATCTTTTGTCCATTGAAGTAGTCAAACTTTGAATTGTAGATGGAGTTGTATTGGAGATCACATTCATTATTTGTTGTTTCAGTTCTTCTTTGTTGTTGTATTGCTTTCTTCCTTTGTATAGCTTCTGCTTGACAATTCCTCAAAGGTTCTCAATGCAGTTGAGGTTTGGAGATTAAAGCAGCCATTTTATAAATTGCTTGCCTTTGAATCCTTTTCACTCTAGAAATGCCTTTGTTGACTGCAATGGGGCATTGTCTTGCATGAAAATCATCTTGGATTTGAAACTTCATCATTTTTTATTGTACCAGGGTATGAACTTTGAGTTAAAAAATTTGTCATAGTTTTCACTATTCATTTTCAGTACAAATTCTACAAAGAAGGGTCCAACAATGATATCTCCAATGATTGCTGCCCAGAACATAATTCCTCCTCCACCTTGCTGACATCTGAGGCGGGTTGGGCATACACTGTCCTCCACCAACCACCCTCTGGCGAAGATGTCAGGACCATTGAGAATAGCTTGACATTCATCCGTGAATAAAATGGAGCTGAAATAGTATTTCATGTAGGCATTTGCACATGAAATTCTTCTCCTGATGTTAACTTTTAATAAAGGAGGGCTTGATTGGACTTTAACAACGTTTGCCAGCTCATTCAAGATATTATTCCTTGTAGCTCTGTTCATTCTAGCTACACCAGCTTCTTGAAATATCTTCTTGCTAGATTCTAATGGATTTTTCTTCAAAGCCCAAATTATCAGGTGGTTCTCTCGCTTCGTTATCTTCCTCTTACCAACATTAGATCCTGTTCTCCAGGTACAGTTGATGTTAGAAATCGCTTTCTTGATCGTCTGCGCATTCGTCTTATTCAACTTTGTAATGTTGCTTGCAGTAACCTCTTCTGCTAACAAATTCACAATTTTCTTCTTTACTTAATTCTTTTCCTTTTCCCTATTCTGATGTTTTCTATCATTTCAAAAATACAAAAATCAAAAATGCGATGTTTAGAGCAGCAATAACCTGTCGTTATGTAATAACCTTATCTACTAAAATCCTGCCTCCAATTGCAATATCCACTATAGCTTTGCCCAGGAACACATTGGTAGAGCCAGCTGACTGTTAGACTATGTAACTACCCAATGGTCAAACTGGTAGTTAACCAATTTCCTCTCCAAGGAATACTTCAGATATAATCAATGTTTTAATGATTTGCATAACATTACCCGAGCTATAATGTTTAAAGAAAAATAAACAATATTGATATTTTTTAATAGTATCTTTTGAAAAGTTAGCAAATATTATAGAATATCAAGTTAAATGAAAATTTTTGAACATTCTTTATATTAAATGTCTAGCAAATGTTTAAACCTCTTGAACTGATTGAATCACTTCACTACTACCATTTTATGTTGTTGTCTAAAAGTGTCATAGGCGTCCTGGGTAAGACATTAAACTATATCCAGCAGCAAGGCCTCTGATCAGGAGGTTTTGAGGAGCGTGGAACCACCTCTTAATTGCTGGTGTTCCCAGGTCCACCCTGACCTGTGGTGGTAGCACCTGTTAAGGTCCCAGCTATGGGCAAATAGTTAACTATTACCAGCAATACAATTTTGAAGGGAATATATTATCAGAAACAGATTTTTGACAAAGCAAAATATTACGAGCAATAAAAATTTTTGTCAGCATTAAATAACCTATTGAGGTTGATATGCCGTAAAACAAAATAAACCAAACCAATCTAAGCCAAAGAATACATACTCTATTCATACAAACCTATCCTAAAAATGTTGTCGGCATTAAATAACCCATTCAGGTTGATATGTCATAAAACAAAATAAACCAAACCAAAAGTGTCATAGGTGATATGCCTATGGGCAAATAATCCAAAATCAGAGAAGTCTACGGCACCATATCATGTTCCAGTCTTGTGTTTGTTCAAACTATTGTATTAAGAAAATATATTTTCTGTCATGGCTCAAAGTAAGGATGCCAGTTCCTTTCTTCAAGATGACATATGAGGTGGATTTATTTTTGAAGTTACTTTCTTCTAGCTTTTGCCTAAAGAAGCAGGACTTACAAAGCAGCAGGTAGTTTGAATTTAAAGTTTTCCTTCTAGACAACCAAGACTACTATATTCTGTCCTGCTATTTAGTTAATGCCAGGGATGGAGGTGGAGGTGCAGATGGATTCATACCTTTCCCAAGGGTATTAGCAGTGAATAGAAGTGAACTCAACTGGAATTCAGACTCGGCTCTCTGATTCCTCAATCCAAGCCACTATCCATAACTCCATTGTGCCTCCATAACATTTTACAGCAAACACAAATATCTTAAAGTTATAATTGACTGTAGGTGGAACAAAGAAAAAATTCTTGACCTATGCAATGTTGGGTATCCTTGATAGTCTACAATAAGAAGAATAATTTATTTTTGACTTTGATTAGAACACTATGAAGCACCATCTATATATGGGCTCGGTTGGTCTATAGATCATATTTTAATATGTTTTTTTTGTTAATATTGTTACAATTTTTTATATGGTGCCAATATTTGATAAAATATTATCTTCATTTCTTTTCTGTAATTTAGGATTGGAATTCATAATGCAGCAATTTCAAGTTGACATCTCCCAAAAGTTCTAGAAGAAAAGGACATTGCTCTCCATACTGTGTTTTACTTTCTTACGATTGATAGCACAATTCAATAATGTGAAATCATATTTATTTAATCAAATTTATTAAATTAATTAAAAAAAGTGCTAAAGTTCAATAAATCTGACCACTTCTGCAGCCTCATGGTTAAAAAGACCACATTTTTTAATGAGGAAAATGGTGCAACTTAAGGCCATCTGTTTAGCAATGGATGTTGATACCTGATCGATACTAGATACTTAGACATAAGGATCTTGTTCATACTGGATAACAAGAAAGTTTTCCCTTATATCATGCAAATACACACAAACAAATTGTTGGGAAATAATTCTATCTTGATATTTGCAAATGTTATAGATAAATTGAGTAATACTAAAAATACTCAATTTTATTCATCTTATTGCATTGTAAGCACAAAAACATTAAATCATAAATATTTTCAATTTTAGTCATCCATTTTTTATACATTTAAAAAAGAACAAAAATGACAAGAGTGGCTTCAAAAAACCAAATTTCTATCTTGAGGAGTAACTCCAAGAATCAAAAAGATTTACCACCTATCCCTCAAAATGATGCCCCTTTTTTCTTTGTGGGTTTTGATGGTGCAAGACATCTTCAACCAGAACGCTTACTATCAGCAAAACAAGGTCATCCACAAACTGTTCAATTATTAGATGCGAATAAACATACACTTAAATCTTTTCTAACTATCTCTCCAAATGTTCACCGATTTCTTGCACCAGGATTATGTTTGAAATCACTTCCAGCAGATTTGATTCAAGGAATGGAGAAAGTTAAAAAATTGGATCTTGGTACTAATTGTCTGACAAATTCAGGGATTCCTTGTTCTATTGGTGATCTGCAAAATCTTGTTGAACTAAAATTAGCATCAAATAAAATCAGATCTTTTCCAAATTGTCTGTGTCAGTTAAAAAACTTGAAGAGACTGGACCTGAGTGATAATGTCCTAAAGAGCCTTCAAGGAATTGAAAATCTCAAACAACTGCAATTCCTAATTGTAGATAATAATAAACTTCAAACTATTTTTCCACATATAAAACAACTAAAACACCTTCAGTTTTTGTACTGTTCTCAAAATAATATATTACAAGTTGAGGTAGACATTCAGTTTCTTACATCTTTGCAGGTTCTAGAAATGGGCTACAACAGAGTTGTCTCCCTTCCATTTGAACTCTTCAACCTGCCCAATCTAAATTCATTGAATGTTAATAACAACTGCATTTCAAAATTACCAAGTTTTAATATTCGATTTGAAAACCAAAAATTAATAGAATGTGTTGACCTCTCACATAATAAGATTTGTAGATTTCCGGAACATTTGCTTTTGTTAGCCAAAAAATTAGACCTTGACTCGAACCAGATAAAAATGTTGAATGGCAAAGTTCTGAGTAAGTTAGACTGGTGGTCTGACCAACAGTTGATATTAAAACATAATCCATTAGTCTATCCACCAGCTGAAATTTGTAGTGGAGGTTTACAATCAATGCTTCAGTTCTTTGCCGATGAACAAGCTGAAAAGAAGTCATATCAAGGTATTAAAATTATGGTTTTTGGTTCCAACACTTCTGGGAAAACAAGCCTGATTCAATCTTTTGTTGCTCAACAGTCCCAGTTACAGGAAAAATCTGAATGTCTTGGTGGCATTAATATTTATGACATTACAGTTGATAAACAATATGAATTCACCAAAGAATCTTCTTGTAACATTGAATCTTTACCATTATCAATATGGGATTTTTGTGGAGATTATAGTGATTTTAATTTTCATTATCTGTTTTATCAAAGACCATCAATCACTCTGTTATGTTTTAACGTATTTGAATATAAGAAAACTCAAGATTTCACTAATATGATTGGTTGGTGGCTGGATTGGATCATTTCTCGAACAAATCAGCTCAGTATTGTCTTAGTAGCGACACATTCAGATCTTGTAGACAGTGATGAACTTTGTCAAATAACAAAACTGGTAAAACATCAAACACAATCTTATCTTAGTGAACGCAAAAAATCTATAGAAGATGAATTGCATTTGATATCTCAGAATGCACATATTACAGCAGCCTTATCTAAGCAGCTCAAATCATATGTGGACCTTCTTCAGGCAAAAATGTCCATTGCTAATAAAGTGGTTGAAATAAGTTCAGCAACAATGAATGGTTTCTGTACTTTATATGAAACTATTGAAAACTTAGCACTCAATAAAGAATTGTTTCCTAATGTGTTAAGAGTTATTCCAACATTTTGGGTTGAAGTTGGGAGTTTCTTAGAAGAAATAGGAAACAATCTTGAAATGCCTGTAATGGATTGGGATGCATATACCAGTTTAATCACATCAAAATTTGGTATGAAGCACTTAATACATACCATTTCTCAATATCTACACGACATAGGGAAGATCTTATGGTTTTCCAAACATCAACAACTAAAAAATTATGTTTTTCTTCGACCATCTTGGGTGACTGATATATTTCGTCAGATTTTTAGTGCTGCTTCAGGGCAGTTCTTGGACACTTTCCAGGAAAAGAGCCTGAAAAAAATGAAACTGTCACGTGGCAAATTAGAAGATATGACAAATAAATTATCCTTTGAAGGTATTTTGAGCCAGGAGTTTTTGAAATTAATCTTGTCTAAAGTCATCTCAACAGATAAAGTTGACTATTTGGATCAAATACTGGTCCTTTTGAGTGAGGTATTTGAGATTGGGTACATATTAGAAAAAGATTCCTCCAAAAAAAGTACTCAACCTGGAAGGGTTGAAAAAAATCTGAATTTAGTTATACCATGGTTTCGGGTATCACCCAAAGTGAATAATTTAAAACTGGTAGGATCTAAAAACAGGATCAGCATTGCTTTTCAATTCAAAAAAAGAATTCCTGTTGGTATATTTGAGCTGCTTGTTTGTCGTCTTTATCACTTTGAAAAACTGAGCTTTATTAAACATTGGAATGATGGAGTACAGCTTAAATGGGACAATCTTGAGTCTGTTATCATAATTGTTCATCAGGCAGCAGCAACTTTGATCCAAAGCCAAAATCTCAACATAAATATAAAAAATGTTGATCCGTCTAGCCAATTGGAACCAGAAGATTTGGCTGCTCTCTGGAAGCCTCTACTGTCAATTGTGATGGAAATTGAAAAGATCATGGAAGAATTTCCTGGTAAGTAAACAGATTATCATTATCTTTTTGTTTTTAATTCTCTTTTCAGAATGTTTTCACTGGTATGTTCTCAACATATCTTCAGATTATCTACTATTATTATTATCTTTCTTAACATTTTAAAGGATTTCTTAATTTTCTTAAGATTGTTTAAATTTGGAAATAATTTTATAATATATAGAAAATATCCTTTTGGGGATTATTCCAATATATTCTGGATAAAAAAAAATTGGGAAACATCTTTTTCTTTTGTCTTTGAGCTAATGAAAATAAAACTAAAAAAAAAATATAAATACTTTATGTAATCTTTACAAAGAGAATTGATTAGAAAAAAAAGATGCTTTCTTTGCTTTTTTTATTTTCTTTACACATTGTATTTTCTTGTAATAAATCAGATTTTTAAACAGAGATGATGCACCTTTTTGTTTGGATTTTTTGTTTCTCAGAAGGAAGTTTAATGGGAAATTTCCTGTAGTATAAAGGACAAGATGAGAACCATCCAAATTTTGTAACAAGAAGCTTACTCTGGTATTTTTCAATAATCTGAATATTTATTGATTTCAATAATCTGAATACTTATTGCTTATCAATTGTTGAAAGGATACATTCATGTGTAGTAATATTAGTTGATGGTATTGTGGATACAATAGTGTTTCAATCAAAAAAAGGGTAAGAATAAAAACATAAAATGTACATATATTTAACAATATATTTTATTGCCTTAGCAAACTACATGAAAAGAATACAAAAGTGGCAAATGAAATGGTATATGTGTAGAAATGTCATTTTTTTGTATGTATGTGTGTGCAAAGGCTTTATATAATGCCCCTTTTTCATACAAGTGGACTCTACCAGTGTGTACTTGGACTGCTGCCGTTAAATACCCAGAGTCAGTCAGAGTAGAGAGAGATTGAGATTGTGATTGAGTTGGAGGTAGAGTAATAGTGTGAGGTAACCGCTTGTAGAAGTCACAGTTACCAGCACATAGACTCTAAAGAAATCCTACTTCAAGACTGGATTTACCAGACTGTATATATATTATTATTGCTAGTAACCATGTTTCTGGATTTACTAACAGTATTACCCATTGTATTATTGTGTAAATACATTTATTTGTTATATTTCATTCCTGTGTTTGTCATTCATTGGAGACCAAATTTCATCTTGGAATCCACAACATATATTATATTTGAGAAGAGATTTTTTTTTGTATCAGTCTATATTTCTGAGATGAGGTATTATGTACACTATTTACATTATTTGAACTATTGTCCTCATCTTTGTCACCATATTTATTACAACATTTCAGCTGTTGTACGCTCCGGCCTTCTTCAGGTGGTTGGAATGTTGAACCCTTTATTTTGCTCACTGGGTAGACTGTTCTAGTTCTACATGCCATGTTTAATGGATGTCAGTTATCAGTTATCTCCTGTTAATTTGCCTCTGAAAGTTCTCCACTGCCTTAGCCAGGTATTGAACTCACACTCTTTGGGTCCTGTCACTGGATCTAACCAACGCCATTATCCAGATTCTTTAATGATGTAAGCCAGCATTTGGTGATGAGATTTTGGCCAACTGGTTGACATATGTCCTCTCTATTTCTCACTTCTCGGTTCCTCCTAGAAAACAATGCTATGACTACTGCCCTTCATAAAATAAAGTGAAATGAAAAGAAAATTGTCCATTATTGATGTAGTCTTTGATATAGCATTTTGATCTGAAGAATTGAAGCCAGATATGACATGAAACCCAACACTGTTATAGAAACATGCAAAGATATGATCCAAGATGGAAGTTGTTTGGTATAAAGAAACAAATTAGAGACTAGTTTGGAGAAATGACCAAAGATTTATTTTAATTTACAAGATATGAAAATGTCTCTGGTAAGTCATATAGTATAGTGTTTGAATATACAATGTACTTGGTGTGAAATGAGAGCATGAAAAAGGAGTATGTTTAAGCCGGCTGACTGCTTGTTGGCTATTGGTTTGGGTTTGTTGTGTTGATATTGGAATCCATTCTATTTCTGTGTTCACAGGAGCCCAATGGTCAGACTGGCAGTTGCTGTGCTCCAGGTAGCCTCTATGGTTAGTGTGAGAAATATATAAGGGAAATGCATGGATATAGTTGTAGACATCTATGGCAAATGAGAGTCATGTTGATAATGACCAGCACTTTGGTATATTTGTGTTTTATTTTAAAATTTGATAGTTTGCTTTATTGCTCATAGTACACAGGGGAGACATGAGAACTTCTCACATTTTTTTTTCACTGGAAAACATCTTTGGAAGAGAATTCATGGCATAATCCTTATTTTCAAGGAAAATCCTGTTGGGAATAATAAATATAATCCATTTAAGGAGATAATCCATTTAAGGAGGTTATGTTTCTTTTCTATTCTTTTAGATGATATTACTGGAGAAAATAGTTTTGATGATCTTTAACTCCCTTAAGTATAAAATGGATCAATAGGTTCATAGCCTAACATGCAGTTATTAACTGTATTTTGATCTGAATGCTTCACTGTATAATGTTTAATCTATGTGAATTAAGCATATGGACAAGCAGGAACATTATGTTGAAAAGTTAAAAATTTTTGTTTGAATTTTTGCAATGACAAATTATCATTATTATAGATTTCATTGAAATAGTTACATTGTGTCATTGTCTCAGATAAATAATGGACCATTCTGTTTTGATTGTGAGAAAACACAGAGGAAAAGATATATCAAAGATTCTGTTTAGTTTTAATAAGAAAAAGAAAGTATGCATAAGAAGAAGAAGAAGAAGAAAGAAAGAGAAAATAGAGGACCCTCCCTATCAGAATGCTTGATGCCCAACTCCATGAGAGCATCTCTCTGCACCTGCTTGGTCTTATGCTTCCCATTGACATGAGGTGGAACAACTATATTGAATCAATAGCTTCATCTACTGCAAGGAAAGTTGGTTCTCTTGTGTCATGCCAAAAGGTTTTTCTTGCCTGAATCCATCCTTCAAATCCATACGTCCTTGCATTGAATACTGTTGCCATATATGGTCTGGTGACCCTGCTGTTCATCTCAAGGTTCTCGATAAAAATCCAGAGATGGATATGCAATGTGATAGGTCCTTATCTGGCATCTCATCTACAGTCACTTTCTCACAGACGTGCTGTGGCTTCCCTCTGTCTTTTCTACAAATATTTTCATGGCAACTGCTCTGATGAGCTACTTTTCTGGTACCCCATCTGCATGAATTTAAGTGTGCTACTAGGTTGGCATCTCAGTTCTACCCTTTCACTGTCGAAACAGTTAAATATAGCCATCTCTTCTACTCCAGCTGATTCTTCTCTCGCATTCCCGACAGTGGGAAACCCTTCCTTCTACTTGCTTCCCTAATGGCTATAATCTTCAAATATTCAAATGTAATGTCAATCAAATCTTTTTTTTTAAAAAAAGGGGGGTGATAATGCACTAATGTGTTTAACATCCGCTTCAGTGAAATGGAAAACCTTATCAATTTCAAATCTTTTGATTTGTACTCTCTTACTTCTTTAAATAATGACCAACATTCATATTCTGATTGTTATTGCAATATTTTGTTAAAGTTTTTCAGCTGTGGAACTCGCAAAGCGCTTATTCACTCATTAACTTAAGAATTATGATTCATCAGTGAAATTCAAACAAATTGAAAACCTGTCAGTAAGGATAATTCCTCATTGCAAAAATTCAGATAAAAATTATATAGATCTAACATGATACACAAACAGAAAGAGAAAATTCCCATCAAAAATTGGTACAAATGTCAAATAATCTTACATCTCTCTAAAACTGCTCTCATTAAACCACCATAGAGAAACTTCCCTGCCCACCATCAGCATGGCTGATGCTAGACTCATGGAGAGCAACACATTGTGCCTTCTTGGCCACCCATTTTCAACTGACTTGAAGTGGAACACCTACATTGAATCAATAACTACATCTCTGGCAAAGAAAGTTGGTCCACTGTGTTGTACCAGATGGTTTTTCTTATCAGAGGCCATCTTGCACATTTACAAATCTACCATTCATCCATGCATTGAATGCTGTTACCATATCTAGTCAAGTGCTCCTACTACTCATCTTGAGATTCTTGACAAAATCCAAAAGAAGGATCTGCAATGTAATTGATCCTGACTTGGCATCTCGACTTTGGCTTCAGTCACTTTCTCATTGGCATGACATGACTTCCCTCTGTCTTTTCTACAAACATTTTCATGGCTACTGCTCTGACAAGCTTTTTTTCACCCCCTGGTGCTTGGACTACATGATTTTAAGCATGCTACTAGATTGGCATTTAGGTCCTATTTTTTAATGTTGAATTAGGTAAATGTAACTGCCACTTCTACTCCAACAGTTTCTTTTCTTTCACTTCCTGCCTGTGGAACTCCCTTCAATTTCCTGGCTTTCCTGATAACTACAATCTTCAAAAATTTAAATGCAATGTCAATTGCCATCTTCTATCTTCTTGAACCCTGTTCATCTTTTATGCTTTCCTCAATTCACACTATACCTAGTTTTTTCTCTTTCCTTTACTCTCTGTGCTAGGGACATTTCTGTCTTGATTGGGGTGAAATGATAAAAAGAAGAAAAAAAAAAGAAGAAAAAAAAAAGAAAAAAATCATAGAACTGAAGCTAATTCCTCCCCAGATGTCTGTCGATTCTAGAAACGTATGATCCCTTATGGAAAAAGCTGGATTTGCCTTCATTGTAGAGAGGATCCATCATAACCACCAGATGAAACATCAGTTCCAAAGTGAACTCTTCAATTGGATAAAGTTATTTCTAAATCAAATAAAATTTAACTTATATAGCAACAACAACCAATATGAGGATAGTGATATTTTTCAAAGCAAAATGCATTTAATTCTTTTTGAAGTATTTGAATGTCACACATGTCAATGATTTACATTGAGATAAGTAGTAAACTAATTACAAGATCAAGAACTGCAGAAGAATATTACAGCATTGTGATAAAAGTAA